CCCATCCGCCCAACTGCCGTGAGCCTGGAGCACATCCCCAAAGTGCTGTCCCCATCTGGCCGCATAGACAGCGCGCCCCGAGACTTCACCGTCTACGTAAGAACCCTCACCGGCTCGCAGGCTCGGACTGGGGGGCAGGAGAGGGAGAGGAGGCGTGTGTCAGTCATGAGGAGAGGAGAGGGAGAGGAGAGGTGGCGTGTGTCAGTCATGGGGGCTGGAGAGGGAGAGGAGGCGTGTGTCAGTAATGGGGGCAGGAGAGGGAGAGGAGGCGTGTGTCAGTAATGGGGGCAGGAGAGGGAGAGGAGGCGTGTGACAGTAATGGGGGCAGGAGAGGGAGAGGAGGTGGTGTGTCAGTAATGGGGGCAGGAGAGGGAGAGGAGGCGGTGTGTCAGTAATGGGGGCTGGAGAGGGAGAGGAGGCGGTGTGTCAGTAGCGAGGAGAGGATATGTCTTTTTTCAGGGAATGGATGATGAAAAGCAGGAGGAAGGGACTCTGCTGGGAAAATTCACGTATGATCAAGATGGCGACTCGATACAGACATTCACCTTACCGGTAAGACAGTGCAAAGAATCGGGTGGTTTAGTGCCACAGTAAAACTTGATCCTGCTAGCCCAATACAGGAAAGGTGTCTAGAAGCTGTCTCCCTGCAGAGTTCTGGGATTAAGACGTGCCAAGTCTGCTGCACTCAGTGTCTCAGTCCTGGTGCTGGAGAGAAACTCGAGACACCATCTGGTCTGAGCAGGAGGACAGGCGTTTCTCCAGCTGCTGTCAGCCTGCAGGACACCCCCCTGCTGGACATGAGCAGAGCCCTCGGAGAGAGGGGGATCCTCTCGGTCTTACTGCAGGGACAAGCACAATTATAGGCTGATTACAGACGTCACCAGTCATCAGCCCCGGGTTCACATCCATAACGCTTCTTAAGAGCTGAAAGCACATTTAAAAACAAATGCCTCAAACAGAAAACCGAAATAAATTACCCTGCCTTTAAGACCTTGGCTGTAGAAAAAGAGGTTTCTCAGGACCTGGACTGAGACCCCTCTCTTTCTACACCCAAGGCCGGAGTGCAAAAATAAAAGCGTAAACGGACCAGGGCTGAGGTCTCCTGCTGTGGACTTTCAGCTGCCCGCACCCTGTTCCCTTGTAGGATATTCTCTCTGCGTAAGATCTGCTGCGTGCAGGATTTACTGGGGTGAAGCACATGCTGTACAGACACCTGTTGTTGTCACAAAGAATCCGACAGACAGGCTGAACAAGCACCCTGTTCTCTCTGTAGGAAGGATCAGAGGCTGGCTCTAAATAAACTGATCCTAAAATAGGTGCTTCTCCAGTGTCATGTAGGGTGCATGGAGGAGGTGCTTTAAAAAGCATACAAGTGTGCTTGTGAACAGTGGCAGGAAGGGAATCACTCTGTCAGTCTGATCTCCAGCAGGGCTCATCGTGAAGAAATAACCCTCTTTCGGATCTGCTCTGAACTCCCGGCATCTCTCCTGTGTCCTTCTCGACCCTAGGGCCCGGCGCCAGAGGCCTACCCACTGGTGGAGCTGCGTGTCCTGAGCAACTGGGGGCACCCCGAGTACACCTGTGTCTACCGCTTCCGGGTTCACGGAGAGGCCCCCAGCGCGTGAGCCCGCCCCGGGGCCCGCAGAGCCTGGGACTGGGGGACTGGGGCGCACGGGGAGAGAGAGGAGAGGAGGAGCAGGGGTGGGGAGGGGTGGGGGGGTGTTACTGGGCACAGACAAATTGCACTGATACGTTATGAGGATTTGCTTTAAAAAAAAAAAGTTCTATGCATAAATAAAAGTCTTTCTGAAGGCAGGATAGGGGGCTGTTCTTTGGTATCACAGAGCAGGACTGATACTGTGGTTCTCAGTTCCAGGCTTTTGCTGGCTGCGGTAGTTTCAGTTTTACATTGCCAGGGGGTACGGTACACTTAACACTTCGGCCGGGGGGGAGGGGGTCATCTGAACAGACCTGTGGCAGAGGGTATCGGTCACTGCCAAGCCAGAGCGTGCCCTGCCCTGATCGCTACTGTGTTTCTCTAATCTGGCCTGTTGAGTATCGTGGCTCTGTTCAGCTCTGCAGGTCGGGTAGCTCTCGTGCCACACAAATCAGGCAAAGTCGGTATCTTGCCAAGAGAAAATGTTTTACAAACCTAATACGTTTCATTCCAAAGGCGTTCTATGCAACGGGACCCCTGATCCTTAAGAATCCTCTTTCCACAGAGCGGCTGTCGGCACCGTCTGGCTTGCAAGAGCTGCAGAGCCCGGCTGTGGTACATTGAGCACCTTTGTTCTCTGGGTGAGAGGACAAACACCAAGCACGAAACGGAGAGAACACAAACCCAGTGGGGTCTGGCACAGCCTGGTGTTTTGGTTCAGGCCCATTAGACAGGGCCTGACGCAGACCCTTGTCTTAGCACAGTGGGACTGTGGGAGCACTGGGGAGGACCGTGTCTCTTGAGTGGGGTGGGCGTGCTCATTTGACGATGGCAGGACTCTATATTTATGTAGATACCTGTGGACATGTATATATTGCACTTTGATTCTGTTTTCTGTTTTGCTCTTGTGTTCTTTTATGTACATACAACAAAGGGCTTGTAGATAGTTTTTAGGTACGTTAAGCCCTGAAGGAAAGTTTAAAAGTAATGTCTGAATTGTCAGAACGGTCCGTACCTGGGCTGTCTACCCCCGAGTGGTGGAGCCGCAGTCCAGCAGGTGTTACAGGCCATCCTTAAAATTTTAAAATGATTCCTAAGGCCTGGGAACAGGCCTGTTGACTCTGTTCAGAGACCAGTGGGCATGAATGCCTGGCCATGCACTTGACAGGTTTCCTGGGCCACCGGTACCCCCTCCTGCCCCGCCGAGCGCAGAGAGAGTGGAATTGGTCAGAAATACCACGGCGTCCAGCTAACTTCATACGGAGCTGTGCTGAGGCTGCTGTGTTCTCTCACCGACAGCCTAGCTCCTGGCCAGGACTGTTTTTGAACACTTGTTGATGTGTATAGAAATACAGCGTTGGGAGCGTTCTTCCAGTATTGAGTCTGAGATTGTAGAAACGGTTTGCGGTAAATCGTAAGGGCTCTCTCATGGCTGACGCTGCTTTCGGCTCAGCCCTGTGCAGCTGTTTGTTTGTGTAAGTGTGTACAAGATATCCACTGCCGTGCTGCTCAGTCAGGGCCCGTCTGAACTGGTAGATGGCAAATTTATTAGAACCTGTTTTAGATTAGCTTTAGATTTGTACAAAAGTGACAGCAAGCCAGCGATACTGTATTTGTTTCTTAATGAAGAGAGAGGATTCTGTTGCACAGCTCCTTTGACTAGCGAGCACCGTGTCCAAGAGCTCTACAGTGAGTTGCTATGAACAAGCTCTGCCGATGCACTGGGCTTTGGTAGAAAAGCACAATCCCGTTGCGCAGCTGAGCAGCTCGGCTCGGAATGAAGGGTCGGTGCAGAATTCTGCTCCATGACTTTGGGTCTTAAGCGTAAAAATATTGCTGTTACCGGTCTGTGATGCTTGACGCAGTCTGCTTGCGGTTAAACTGTAGGTACTCTATCTGCGTGGGGACTTGAACCCACAGCCCATTAGCTCGGTTTCACTCTGCTCCCTGCTTGTGAGCGTTACGCAGAGTTTTGGCAGGGGCTCCTGTACAGTTCTCTTTCAGGGCTCGGAAGCTACACTAGTAATCTTGAGATTAAAAGAGCCCAGTTAAGGGAAGGACATCCCACTGACCTGCTGCTACACCGGCACTGGGCTGCATGTCGGATGTTGACTATTTCAGGAAATGGAGAGCAATCGTTTTTCAATTTAGAGCAAAAACGAGCCCTTAACTCCTAATGCCACATACTCTAAAGGGTGTTCTATGCTGCCTGCAGGGGCTCTGTTAGTGCCCTTCAATACAGGTGTTGGAGACGCTTCTTGTCGGGAGAAAAGTTGTCTCACCGGAGAGTTGCTTAGCGATGAGCAGTGAGAATAATGTTCAGGGTCACTGCACAGAATTGCACTTTTGGTGTCGTTCGGCCCTGCCCTTTGAAGCTAACTGACGACACGTGCTTTGTTTTGTACGGAAAGTGATTTTAACTATTCTATCAGTGTTAAAGGTCAGACAGTTACCCAGTAGAGAAAGAGTTTAAATGTCAGTGCTTGTACTCACTGTTCTCTGTTAACCCAGCTCCTAGTGCTTTTGCACAGTGCTGTGTTCTGCACTGCAGCGCTGGAGGACTGGCGAGTGCCGTGCAGCGTCAGTGCGACGGCCCCTTGCTTGTGTCGATGCTGTCTTTATAACACCCTTGCCTGCAGCCTCTCGCCCCCCTCTTCCTCTGTGGGGTGCTGTGTGCCCTGGATGGCCGCAGTCCAGTTACAGTGACCGTGTCTTGCCCAGAGCGCCGCACTGCACACTGCGAGCTACGCGTGCTTCCCTCCTGGCCAGTGTGCTTGGGTTCGGCCGGTGAGACAGATGCATGGGCACACTAATCGATCCTTCAAGACTGCAATCAGGGCAGCAGTGGTGAGGATGCTGGGCCAGAGTAGAACATCATACGTGCAAGGACTGATGCACAAACTTCTTTTTTTACTGTGGAGCTATTTGGCTAATACCCAAGTTGAATCTGTTGTACTGGGGTGTAGGGGGTTGCTCTTTCCATTGGACCTAACCAGTATCACCCTGGGATTAATGGCAGCACATTTACCCCATTTTTATGGTGCCAAACTATTCAAGTACATTTTGGGGTACTTGAGTCATCCCCACTTCTGGGTGTGCGTTCAGAGACGAGAGAAAAGTACCAGCTCACCAGAGTGAATTATCCCTCTTCCTTTGGTAACTTCAGGAATTTCCTGACCCAGCTCTGGAGAGTCCCAATCCCACAGGTTTTATGGAAGTAAATTTCCTTAAACAAATTATCCGCCTATTTGCTCAGTAAGTAATGAGTAATGTTTGCCATTTTTAGAGACAGAGATTCAGTGACCTAAAAGATTAACTGGACTGGGGCTCTTCAGAGCAAGGATCCGAGACACCTGCCTTGAAAACAAATACTTGATT